GAATTGATCTGAACGTGAACTCCAGACTAGGATCCACCTTTTATTAGCTTTTAGCCAACTGCTATATTTCTAATTTTCAGTGAAATACACTTTACAGGTGATGTATATCCATGGATCTGTACCAGGCGAAATAGGAGAAATATTACTTATTAAAGATTGTTATCATGGAAAGAAAAAAATTCAGGATCCTCATTTTCCAACATTTTTTTACGAGAAGGATTTTGAAGAGGAAAAGAAATGTAACGAAAATCCCGACTCACCATTTGTGTATGAAGATGGTGAATTCTTTGCCCGGCATTTGTTCAGGTAGCTTCATTTGCTTATTGAAAAGATATTTTTAATCGCTGTTTCCTTTCCCTCACTCTACTGGAAAAAAACTTAGTCGAAAGCGTACCGGCTGCCCGGTACGAGGATGCGTTTTTGGCACAGTTCCCCCGCAGGTTTTTTCCCGGCAGATGCTTCTAGCTAAAAGAATTGGGGCTGGCCACCACGACTGTTAAAAATTATTACAAAGACTCTCAATCCATGCCCAAAAAATTCAGCGCCGTGGATGCTTCGGATGCGGAGTTACGTCAAATTTCACGTGCTCGTACGTGATTGGCAACGTGAATGCTTTCTTCACCCGCAGTTACTCAAACACGGTCCTGGATAACGCTCAGAAAGTCTCAGCACTCCAGCTGTTTTGGTTGCAGAGTTACGTCAAATTTCACATGTTCGTACGTGGGTGGCAACACGAGAACTTCCTTCACCCGCGGTTACTCAAACACGACCCTGGATGGCGTTTAGAAGGTTTCAGCATTCCAGCTGCTCTGGTTGTAAACTTACGTCAAATTTCACGTGTTGGTACGTGGGATGCAGAAAAGCTGAACTTTCACGGACACAACAATAGGCGACAAGTAAAGCTGCAAAATTGCAGCTCTCTGCAACTTATTGGTCAGCTTAAATCTGGAATTGGCATGATGCCAGTTTAAACTTTGACTTGTGCGTACGTGAGACCTGGGAGTGCGTGAAGGCTGAATTTGAAACCTTTGGATTAGACGCGGAGGCCCATTGTCAGCGTCCGATACACGCCCTCCTACGGAGGCCCATTGT